TAAGGACCTATAAGATGGCGCCATCCTCTTCGATTTCTAGACTTTTGCTCTGGTGGGTAAACCTGGCCCTGAAAGGAGTACGGGAGCCTCTTCTCCTTTAGTTTACTCCTTTCCTTTACCTGCCTCTTAGGGTTCTCTGCAGGCCCCGGCTATGCCACAGAGGGGCAGCTAACAGGGCTTAGAGAAGAGTGGTATGGGCAGCCAGGTCAGGGCTGGGTCTCCATACCTGTAAGTAGTGCACTCTCTCAAGAGGGGGAAAGAGCATATGCCGGCCAGGCAGGAGTTTCACCTGGGTGGGGTCCCTGCCCCCTGGCCCCGTGGCCCCATTAGCATCAAATCGAACTTTGCAGACTCGGCCATCTGTGTAGTCGTCACAGCCCCCATCTAGGAGAGACAAAGGGCAGAGTGGTCACACAGAGAGAACAACCAACCTGCACCACCCTTTTCTAAGCTCCCATAGAACTCTTCATGGGTTGACTGGCATTTGTGGCACTGTCTCTGGAGCTGGAGTCTCTCAGGAAGCTTAGCTTCCCTTTAGTGCCATAGCCTTCTTTACATGATGACTGGGGACTAGTTCCCAGGCTCTTAAATGGTGGGGGCCAGAGCAGCGTCTATGGGCTTCTAGAAAGGAGCCCAGGCAGAAGGAAGCTTCAAGTGGGTAGCAGAGGGCCTGATCAGGCAAGGGAGAACTGGAGGAACACAGGCTTCATCCAACAGGGGAGCCCAGGGCCTCACAGGAAGGGGTGGTGGACAGGGCAGAGTAGACAGAGGTCCAGGAACACCAAAGCCCAGTCCCTTCTCTAACCGTCATTGCCGTCCTCCTCAGACATGATAGCCACGCACTGCTCCCACACTGTGCGCACGTCGGCACGGTAGCGTTCACAGGACCAGATGAAGGAGGGCAGCAGCAGTGTCTGTGCCATGGAACACCACAGCACAGCCAGCACCATCCACGGGGGAGCCGAGTCAGACTTCAGGGAAAAAAAGCTCACCACCTGGTGGGAGGACAGGGAACGGCAGGTCAGCCCAGCCCTGGGTGGAAGGGATGCCTCCTGAGGAAGGACAGAAGAGAAGCTGCAAGTGGAAGTGAGGTGGGTGGGGTTTGACTCAGAGGAAGGCCAGGGAAGAGTGCTGGAGACAAAGCTCTGGAATCATAGAGAGAACAGTGGAAATGCAGAGACAGTGCAGGAAAGGAACAGAGAGAAATCCAGATATAGAGGCAGCATAGGCTTGTGGAGTGAGCCCTACGCACTTTCCACCCAAGAAACCCAGAGACTGTGGTATCCAGAGGGAAAGAGAGCATGGTTCTGGGCACCAGGATGACAGGTTGAACTGTGGAGCTGCGAGGCAAATGATGGATCTGGAGGATAAGCAGCAGAACTGAAGGGTGGATGATGGAGCTGGACAGTGGAAACTGAAAGGCAGATAGATGGTAGAGCGTGCAGGCAGGGAAGTGGGACCTGCAAGATGGATGATGGAGAAGAGGACTGTAATGCATTGGGTGGGTAGAGGAAAAGAAGATGGATGATGGAATGGGAGGAAAATGATGGAGCTGCTGCATGGTTGGTGGGGCTACAGGTCAGATGAGGATGCAGGGACCTGGATGTTAAGGAGAACAGCTGGGGGGACCCCAGTCTCACCAAGATGGGCACCCCTGTGAGTGAGTCATAGAGAAAGACGATGGCGCTGACCAAGTTGGTGACCTGCAGTGATGTCTTGGCAGACTCGGAGCCATCCAACGAGGACCGCCGCTTCCCTCGGGTATCTTCTACCACAATGGCTGGCACCTCAAAAGCTGGCCGGGTGCCAAAGCCGCCTGGCCCACCTGCTTTGGCTCTGCCATTGCCCCCCGCTCTCCGGGCCTGCCGAGCCCTCCGGGGCCGGGCCCACAGCGTCTGGTAGAAAGTGATGGCCACACAGACCAGTCCCATGACAATGCCCCCGAGGAGTAGGAGGCTGAAGCAGACACCAAAGCCAAGACCAATCTTGGAGACTATGAACTGGCAGCCTCGGGCATAGTAGCGCTCTCCATTGTTGTGCCAGCCAATGGAAGGCAGTGTGGAAAGGATGAAGCTGACCATCCAAATACCCATAACAGCATGCAGCGCCTGCTTCTTGGCATTGCTGAGGCGGTAGTTGACAGGCCAACGCACCATCCACATGCGATGGTAGGAGAGTGAGGCAACCGTGAAGCAGGTGGCCAGAGCCAGAGTGTAGTAGGTGGACACAAAGACCTTGCAGATGCTTTCGTTCCAGTCGTAGTCGGAGGAAGCCTGGCGCCGCAGCTGCACCACGGCAAACGTGGTGAGGGGCACGGCCGCCATGAGTATGTGCGTGCCCGCCAGGAAACAGAGCAGCAGCTCCAGTGGCTTGTGCTTCTGCTGCTTGGCTGAGATGCTCAGGATGATCCAGGCATTGGCCAGCAGTGCCAGGAGCCCACAAGCCAACCAGGACAATGCATTGGAGCGCAGGGAGGCCTCTTCTGCCCCCACCCCACCCCGAGCCATCCTATTCTCAGCCCCCCACCCCCTCTGAACTCCGGGGGCGGGGGCTAGGTCTCACCCAGGAGCCCCACTTACATGCATCCCCATTATGCCCACAATCTTTGCCCTGTAGTCTGTCAGGCTGCCCCCAGGCCCACCCTCCTGCTCAGCATGGCATGACTGACCCAGCTAGGGCCAGGGCAGGGGTGGAGGCTGTGAGTCAGCAGGGGTGGTCCTCAGTCTCAGGGCCCAGTGTGGCTCTTCCTTAAGTGTCCCTGGAATTGATGGGGGAGGCCAGCTGGCTGCTTTCCCAACTGCAAGGTTGGCTGGAGCACCCTGGTCCCCAAGCTGGGACTTGCAGGTCTCTGTCTCCTCAGGTTCTTGAATAGGCAGGGAATCTTCTGGATGGTCCAAGGAATTTGGAGGTGGGCTCAGCCACCTGGGCCAGCTACAAAGGAAAAGTGAGATGAGGGAGGGGGAGGGAAAAGGCTGAGCCTAGCCTGTCTCCTAGGTACCCCACCCACTTCCCTCCAAACTACTGAAATGACTGATTACTAGGATTATGGGAGTCAGAGCCCCCCCAACCTGTCTTAATCAGACAACACATGCACCACACACAGATAAGAGTGCCTCTGATTCCAAACTGCCAGAAAGAAGACATTCTTACCTCCCTATCTCCCATCCTTTTTAGCCCTTCTTCCCCACTCTAGAATTCCCAGTTCTTCCTTCTAACATCCCCCTTCCCCCATCTTCATGTCCCTGAACCTCTTCAGAGAGACTGACCAGAGCCACAGGACTGGTTTCTCTTTGGAGTTCAAAGTCGACTGCCTCCCCTACCTGTCAGTCTCCCTGGCCCAGCGGTCTTGATGCCCAGCTGCATTTCCCCAAGCCTGGCTGATTACCCTCCAGCTACCCAGGGAGCTGGGAAAATGGGAGAAAAGAGGCTGCGACCGAAGGGGGGCCAGGGAACCCGAAGGCGGGGAAACCACTGACATCAGAAGCATCCAGAAATGGAAAGAGGGGGAACTAGGGAGAAGGAGGAGAGTTTGGCAGAAGAGAAAGAGGGGGCAAAGTGGTAGTATCTGAAAATAGAAGGAACGCTCAGGCGCCCCTGGAGAAGAGGCCTTGGAGGGAGGAGGGGTGGGTTGGAGGTGGGAGCAGGGAACAGGAGGCTGAGAAGCAGAGCCCACAGTTTAGTAAGGTGCTGACTCCCACTGGGAGACTGAGTCTCCCCATCCCCTGGGCCCAGAGCCTCAGTTTCCCTCTAGGACAGTCTGGCTCTTAACGATGCTGAACTGCGGAGCCCTGGGGAGGAGGCTAACAGGAAACTGGTGAAACCTTGAACACAGCAGTCTGTGAGGTTGGGCATAATGGTTCTGGGGCAAATGGGGTGAAAATGGGGCACAGCAGTGCCAGGGGCTACTTCCTATGGAAGAACCGCAGACCTCTGCCCTCCCCAGCAGGTCCTGGTCCACCCCCCCCCACCTTTGTCTTCCTTCCAGAGCCCAGCACACCCTAGTTGCCATGGTAATGGCCATGCAGGAGGAGGTGGAGGGAGCTGGTCAGGAGCCCCCCACTCCCTGCCCCTGCAGCGGCCGACCCCTTTCCACCCACCTCCCTAGGCGCAGTGGGTGGGCTCAGTGAGGAAAAGATGGGAGTCAGGGAGAAGCGGGAAGGCTGTGAAGGACACAGAAGAGGTGAAGGACAGAGAGCTGAGAAGGAAGGAGGGGGTTGGGGCTGCCAGGCGGGCAGGGGTCCCTCGCCCTTCGCCGTGCAGGGTAAGGTCGGGCAGCTCCTCCTCCCGCCACCCGCAGGCGGTCGGGGGCAGGAACAGCAGGTGGCTGGGGAGGAGGGGCGGCGCGGGGACGGGCGGGGGTCCTTACCTGCGTGTGCCCGCGGCGGGGACCCACGCGCACTCCGGCCCGGCTCCGCGCTGCTCCGCGCCACCGCCCCGGCTCCCTCGCTCCCTCCCCGGCCCGGCCTCGGGCTCAGCTCGCAGCCCGCGCCGCCCCGGCCCAGCCAGGCCCCGCCCGGCCCCTGCCTCCCGGGGACATGGGCCTGGGCGCACGAGTTAGGGAACCGGGCCGGCACCGGGGCTGGGGGGACAGCGCGGGCGGGGCGGGGACACTGGACGGCGGCGGCCCAGGGGGAGGGACGAGCACGGCGCCGGAGGGAGGGGGCGAGGAGGACGCGGGCTTGGCTGGCAGCGCCGTGTCCTGCCCCCACCCAGCCCGAGGAGCCAGCTGGTGTTGCTGGGGACCGGGGAGCTGGGTGTTCGCAGAGAAGGAAGCGAGCGAGCGTGTGTCACCGTGTGTCACTGTGTGCCTCCGTGTGCGGGCTGTGCCTTGGGGACAGCTCCTAGGACTGGGGTGGCGGCGAGTTAGGAGCCAAGGGAATTGGGGTGCAAATTTGGGGCTGGGGGACGGCTTGCAAGACTCAAAAAGGATGTGGACTCATGCGTGCGTGCACGTACACACACGTGCACGCGCGTGTGCACACACAGACCCACACAGCATCTTCTCCATAGGACATTTATTATATTTTCCCTTCAGCCCAAGGAAGCAGGAATGGGGAGCTGGCAGCACTTGGATGATCTTTCTGGAAGAACGGAGTTGGAAAGAAAAGGGTCACAGGAAAAGTGGGGAACAGGTCGAGCCTGAGGGAGGTGGTGAGAGAGGCAGAAGTGGCTGGAGGTCCTGAGAGAAAGGAATCAAGGAGAGGAGGAAGAGCAATGTGTAACTCCGATTTGATTTCTCTGTGTCCTGAGATTTCCCAGTGTTCTGAAGGCTTTGGAGAGGTTGCAGGGCTGGGAACTGGGCCTTTCTTGGGGGCTCAGTCCCAAACTAACTTTCTGCCCTCTAAGCTCACCTTCCAGAAGGTTCTGCATGGAGTAAGTGATGGTCACTGAGTTTCTCTCCCACAGGACTGTCTGTGCTCCTAGCCTGCGCTCTAAGAGAACAGGAGGCTTCAACCCCTGTTTTGAATTAAGATTTATTTTGTTTTTTAAGATTTGTTCTCACTACGTACTTCTCTCTGGCCTTGAACTCACTATATGTCCCAGACTGGCCTCCAACCTTCAGCAGTCCTGTCTCAGCCTCCCAAGTGTTGGGATTTCAAGCATGGGGCACCATGCTTGGGTAGGATTTTCATAAAGTTCAAAACAGACAGAGACTGTGCACTGGTTTATACATTGAGATACACTGCTTGGGTGATAAGAAATTGTGCGCCTGAGCAAACTTGTGGCTCTGTGCGTGGGTGTGTGTCCTGTTTGCATGGCTGTCAGGATGTGAGGTGGTCCAGCAACACAGGTTGAAGCGCAGGCAGCCTGAGACACAGAGGGCTGGCTTCAGGGGGTTCGGATCTGCTTCTGTCCTTGACTGGCTGTGTGATCTTCGGGAAATCTCTGCTCTCTTTGATCACAGGGCCCGCTCTTGTAAACTGACAGGTTCCTGTTATGTTTCCAGGTGGACGGGTCCTGCTCACTGTGTGAACTGCTGAGGAGGAGCTCAGGAGACCTGGAGTGGGATGGGCTTTGGGGAAACCAAATAGTGCATTTAAGCTTCTGGAGAACGAACAATGTGCATAAGATCCCAGTCTAGGGGCTGGGAATTTAGCTCCGCGGCATAAGCACCTGCTTGCAAGCAGGCAGTCCTGAGTTCGATCCCAGGTACCAATAAAAAAAAAAAAAAAAAAGATCCCAGTCTACTGGGAGCAGAGGAGGAGAAAGAATGGCGAGTGGTGGAGCAGGGAACCAGGAGGAGGCCAGAGGCACTGGGATTTGTTACATTCGTCCAGTCCGTGTGCCCAACAGGAGATACAGGGTGGACAACTGGGGATGCCTCAAGGCCTCAAGTGACATTCTGAGTCTTCGGCAGACTGCTGAAGAAGACAGAGGAACAGCTCCAGCTGCACAACCTCTCAGCATTCTGGAACCTGGAACCATTGCAGTTCCCAGACCCTACTTTTTTCTCCCAGGGCAGAGGTAGCCTCCACAGCGGCCACCAGAAACACTCATGGCCTGCTGCCCCTTCACCTCCTCCAGCCACCCCTTCGCCCTATCTTCTCTCCACCCTCTCTTCTTGGCCCTCACCCCCCTTCTCTCCTTCCTCATCTCTCCTTGCCCTCCTTACCGGTGGCACTGGCAGGTCTTCTTCTCACTGAGGAGCCGCTTGATCTGAGACATCCTTGCTGCCTGGCGCTGTCCAGGGATAAGAAGGGGAGTTGTGAGAGTCCTAGATCTCCAAAAGGGGGGGGGCCTTAAAAGGGGGGAACTGGGAGGAGAGAAGCATCACTGTGGCTGAAGCCACCTGCCTTAGGATCAACTATGCTCCTTCCCACCTCTCTGTCCACAATGGGATCTGGGGCAAGCCTGGTCTGCAGTGAGGGACTCAGGTCTGGGTGTTCCAGGGCCCAGTAAGGGACACAGTGGGGTGGGTTCTGTAAGGTTCACTTACCCGTTGGTGTCGGCACCAGACACAGCAGAAGATGCAGAGCCCGGTGAGGAACAGAAAGCCTAGGGTACCCCCCAGCACGATAGCCAGGAACATTGACTGGTCCTGGGGCATCCCCCTGGACACAACTGCAAGACAGAGGCATAATCAGTGTGCTGCCTTCCATTAGGCCAGAGCTGCCAGAGAGGCAGCCTGGGGTCTCATCCTAGGGCTAGAGGAGACAAGCAGGGTGTGCAGAGCTCTCAAAGGCTACCACTGGGGACTGAGGGCACAAGGCTGTGAAGGGCCTCACAGTTTAGGTTTAAGGGTACTCTGGAGAGTGAGAAGCAAGGGTTCAGATCCTGGACCAGTGTGTGTCTGAGTTTAGGGGCAGGAAGGGGAGCTCTTGGCCAGGAGGCTTCTTTCCTAGCCTGCAGACTTCAGGGACCCTGGAGGGCCACAGAGGGAACATGTAGCCCAGAGCCACACTGCCTTATCACGCCTATGTCTCCAGGCCACCATATATACAACCCTCTCTGGACCAGGAAGCCCGGAATATGGCCTCTGCCACTCCCCAGGAAGTCAGGAGGCCAAGGCTCAGGATCAGGCCTTGCAACCTGGATCCTTACCATCGACTGTGGACTCCAGAAGGACCTGGCTCCCATCACTCAGGAGACACTGCCATGTCCCTGCTTCAGGAGACAGCACCCAAACCTGCTTCTCTTGCTTCGAGACCTGGGGCTTCTGGTCCTTGAGATTCCAACTCAGCATGAGTGTGGAGGAAGTGGGTCCCTGTACCTCACAGACGAGAGAGTTCTGGTCCTGAGCCACTGCAGAGGAAGGAGAAGCTGAGACCCCTTCAAGCACTGAGAGGGTCAGGAGAACAGTCAGAATGATGCTGTGTACCCTTTCATGTATTTGTAAGCTGTCCAATGGTCTTGGATTTGAATCCTAACCAGCTCTAGTTCTTAACTACTACACTTTAACAACCTGACCCCAGGTCAGCGATACAATGCAAGAGTTCATGTAAAGTGTTTGAAGGAGAGGTTAGCAGGTACTGAGCATCCAGTGTGAGCCATTATTACATATGGCATGTCAAGATGATAGGAGATGGGGCTGGGGATTTAGCTCAGCGGCGTAAGCGCCTGCCTTGCAAGCAGGCAGTTGTGAGTTTGATCCCCAGTACCGATAAAAAAGAAAAAGACAAAAAAAAAAAAAATGATAGGAGATAATTTAATCTGATTTTTTTTTCTTTTTTTGGTCTTTTTCTTTTTTATGGGTACCAAGGATTGAACTCACGACTGCCTGCTTGCAAGGCAGGCGCTTACGCCACTGAGCTAAATCCCCAGCCCCTCTCAGTGCTGATCTTGATAGTACCATCATTTCTAGCACACAAAGAGCATTTTGTTATCTCTGTTAGAAGAAAGGACGAGAAAACAGCTCCTCAGTCAGCAGAATCTTAGTCAGGGTTGGCCAAAAGCAGAACCAGAGCCCGGCTTGTTAGTTTGGGGTGTTCTGGATTCTGGGCTCAGTCTGAGCACCAAAAGACAAGCAAAGCATTCCCAAAGCAGAGAGCACTTGATCACGTCAACCAGGCTACCAGAAGCTAAGCATCCTCTTTTGAGACCTGGCTGGTCTCAGAGGTCATCCTGCACAAGTGCACCCGCCACCCTCTCGCTCCAGCCCCTCACCCTTCATCACCACCAGCTTCACTTCTTGGGACAGTCTCTGGCCTCCGTCCAGGGTCAGAGTCAGGTTTCCAGAGCCAGCATGCTGGAGCAAGACTGAGGACAGGGTGAGGCACAGTGGGGTTTTCTCTGCCATTTGGAGCTTGGGGTCTTGGTTGTCATTTTGTACAGACACCCTCTGGTTTGCCACAGAGAAGGTGATCCAGGAATGAGAGGAAGAAGCCTTGTCTGCCCGCCAGATCAGCTCTCCAGTGAAGGGCAGGTCTTCATTGTTGAAGGTCAGGGGGAAGCACATCTCCAGAGACTCCTTCTCTTTCTTGTAGAAGGGGTTGGGTATCTGCATCTTCTGAAAACCTAGAAAAGGGAGGGAAGAGGGGAAAGTAGGGCACGCAGGTGGGGTGACCAATGTGGCAGGGGCAGCAGAGAACGAAGGGGGATCAAATGAGTCCGCACACAGAGCTTGTCATTGCAGGTACAGTGTTTCCATTCTGGCCTCTGCAGACTCTCTCCCATACTATCTCACCAATCCAGCACAGTCTTGTTCCCGGGCAGCCCCCCACCTCCCCGGGAGTCCTTATGGAACAGCCTCACAGAAGCCATCCAGCCTGTGCCCCTGAGATGCGTAATTTCCAATGCTTTTTTAAAAAAATATTTTGAGACAAGATCTAGCTATGTAGTCCAGGCTGGCCTGGAACCTGTGGCAATTCTCCTGCCTCAGTCTTCCGCATGCTGGGGTTACAGGTGTGTACCATGCCTTGTGAGAGCCAACACTTCCACGGAGCTTACTGTGGGCCAGGCCCTGTCCTGGGTGTATCCCATGTCCCAACTGTCACATGGGACATCCCATGTCCCACATACTGTCAGATGCGGAAACCAAGGCACAGACTTCAGTGCCTCATCCAAGGTCACAGGGTTGTGAATATCAGGACTTAAATCAGAATGTATACACTACATTGCACTGCTTTGTGTCACGCCTAGAGATGCCTCCTGGGTTCTTGATCTCCCCACAGTGCCTAACCCAAGACTATAGATAGAGGTACAGTGTCAAATGTTACCAGTGTCCCTAAGTGGATTTGCCAACTTGGTAGGACCAGGGAGCCAAGGCAACAAAGAAAGAAAGGAGGTCCCTGAAGAGTAGCTCTAATCAGTTCCTTGAGGAGAGAGGCCCAGCTTGTTCCTTAGGTCAACCTTCAGCCCTAGGGGTTTCTGGGCCCAGGCCCTGCCCCCACTCCACAGCAGCAGTGAAAGCAGAGGGGTTGGGAGTGCTCTGAGCAGGCAGGACACTCGGAGGAAGACCCCGTCTTACTCAGCACCAAGATGTAGATGTCCAACTGGAGATACTTCTTGTCCAGGGTGACAATGCATCTCCAGATGCCATTGTGCTGGAACCCCACACTGGGCACTGTGATGGCCGCTTCCTCTTTGAAAATTTGACCTGCTGGGCTGGTGAACTGTACGGGTAGCTGGCTGTTCTTGGGGCCCTCCACAATCAGGTTCAAGGTCTGCCCCTCCACCAGGCGAGTGCCCGGGCTGGCAGTCACTGTGGAGGGAGCAGATCACCTGGCTCACACCCCCACCTCCAAGGAGGAGATTAGAGCAAACTGAGAGAGTCTCTTCACTGAGCCATCTCCATGTCACCTGCCCTCCCAGCACCCAGCTGCCACTCCCAGGCCAGTAGACCCTCTTGTGCCCTTCTTCCTCTTCCCCTCTGCTCCTGTCTTCCCAAGAGTCTCTCCCTCCTTCCCTGGTTCCTCCCCTTTCTTCTCCCTCTCTCTGGCCCTTTTTTCTTCTCTGCATGACCGAAGGCATGAGGATGCTTGGCACCCAGCCCAGCCTGCCTGACTTCAGTCGGGTCAGGGCGTCTGCATCCTGCCTGTCTACTCACATTTGAACACCTTCAGCTCCACCAGCATCCTCTTGTTATCCACCTCACAGATGTAGATCTCCGAGTCCTTCATTTCAAGCTTCCGGATGATCAGGGGGAAGGATCCTCTATCCCACTGACTGCTCCTAGAGTCAATCCGGTTACCCAGGTGGGTTTTCCCTGCAAATAAAAACATGGCATGGCATCCTGGCACCAGTAGTGCCCATAATTCTCCTGATCTGAGTGCAAAAACTGCCCTTCATTCTCATTAGAAAACCCCAGGCCAGAGCAGAGGTCCTGTCATACCCAGTTGCTTGGTAGAGAAAATATCTCACTGATTCAAAATACTGTAAAATAATATGCCAATCTGGAAAGCACCAGCTTCTATAGCCAAATAGTTTTTTGTTTCTTTGTTTGAGTTTGGTGTTTGTTTTGTTTTGTTTTGTTTTGTTTGCCTCTGAGACAGGTTTTCACTATATAATTCAGGTTGGCCTTGAACTCACATTATAGCCCTGGCTGGCTTTAAACCCCCAGTGATCCTCCTGCCTCAGCCTCCCAAGTGCTGAGACTACAGGCATGTGGCACCATTCCTGGCACAGTCAAATACTTGACAGACATCCTCTCTAGTAATCACAGTAATTTCAAGCAAGGCCCTGTTTTGCTTGTGCTGCAGAAAAGGACATTGAGACAGAGATGAAGCAGTTTTCCATTACAAGAAGGAGTAGAAACTGGTGTAATTTCTGTGGAAGATAATCATTGCTTTTCTTTAAAGACAGAGTCTCACTATGAGCCCAGGCTAACCTCCCACTCATGGCTGTGAGAAGTGGCCTTTGCAATATGAACATAGCATTGTTTTGGAACCCAGAATGACAGTAGAAGGACAGTACTTGGACAGGGAAACTGAGTAGGAGTGAATGGCCAGGGGACTAGGGTGCTTCAAGTGATGAAGTGAAAGGTACTTGTTATTCTTGCCAGGCATGGTGGTCATGCCTGTGATCCCAGTACTCAGGAGGCTAAGTCAGGAGGATCTCCTTGGCAAGTTCTTTTTTTAAAATTAACTTTATTGGTACACTTTTGGTATACATAATGATCACATTCTTTTTTTTTTTTTTTTTTTTTTTTTTTTTTTTTTTCTTTTTTGAGATGGGGTCTCGCTATGCAGTTCAGGCTGGCCTTGAGCTCACTTTGTAGCCCAGGCTAGTCTCGAACTCGCAATGATCCTCCCACCTCAGCCTCCCGAGTGCTGGGAATACAGGCATGAGCCACCACTCCCGGTTTCTTTTTTCTTCTTAATATAGTCTTTGTAGAGCAAAAGTTGCTCATTGTAAAGAAGACCAATTTTTCTTTTTATCTGTTTGTGCTTTTGTGTCAAATTGAAGAATTCTTTGCTTAGAGGATCCTGAGATTTTCTCCATTGTGTTTTTTATACTTCACACTTAAGTTCATAATGGATTTCAGCTTTGTTTTAACCTATGGACATCCAATTACTCCAACCACCACATATTGCAAAGTCTTTCTTAAAGCAATGGCACACAACCATAATCTCAGCACTTAGAGACTGAGGCAGAAAGATTGAAAGTCCCACCTGAGCAATTTAGTGAAAGCCTGTCTCAAAATAATAAACAAACAAATAAAAAATATTTTTAAAGTCCCTGTAGAATGTCCCTAAGATCAATCTCCAGTACCTAAAACAAAGAAAACAGAGAAAGAAAAAGAAAGAAGAAAGAAAGAAAGAAAGAAAGAAAGAAAGAAAGAAAGAAAGAAAGAAAGAAAGGAAGGAAGGAGCCAGGGATAAAACTCAACAGCACAGTGCCTGCCTGCAAAGTCCTAAGTTCAATTCCCAGTACAAAAAAAAAAAAAGAAAAGAGAAAAAAGAGCAAGAAGGAGAAAGAGGAGGAGAAGAGGAGAAGGAAGATGACATGGGGGAGGAAGAAGAAAAGCAAAGAAAAAAGAGTTGTATATGGTGCCACATACCTGTGATCTCAGCATTCTGAGAGGGTGAAGCAAGAGGATCACAAATTCAGGTCCAGCCTGGGTAATTTGGTAATTTAGTGAGACTCTAACTCAAAATTGAAACAAAAGGGCTAGGCTTCAAGCTTAGTGCAAAGGGTTCAATGCCCATTACTGAAAATAAAAAAGTCCATCTTTCTACTATTTGATTATTTTGCAACTGTTTTTTTTTTTTAAACAGACATGGGTTGTGGATCTGTTTTTGAGTTCTCTACTTTGTTTCATTGATCTGCTTGTCTGTCCCTCCCTCACACAGTATCACACAGTTGGTTATTTTAGCTATATAGGAAGTCTTGAAATCAAATAGACCAACTTCTTTTATGATACTAAGGGCTTTACACATACTAGGAAAGCACTCCACAGTTGAACTACAGTGTTAACACTTTATTTTGTTTGGTTTTATTTTGAGACAGAGTCTCACTAAGTTGACTTCGAATGTGTGACCCTCCTGCCTCAGCCACCCGAATAGCTGGGATTACAAGTATGCACCACTGTGCCCAGTATTTACTGCTCTTTTGATAGGCATGGGTTAAAACCTGTATATGAATTTGGGGATTTGGGGAGAATCTTTACCACGTTGAGTCTTCCAATCCATGAGCATGTAATATCTGTCCACAATTCAGATTTTTGACTTCTTCATCAGCATCATCAGGTTTTACACTGCTGAGTTTCCACATACTTGGAGACTCTCCTGTTTTCTCTTTCTGATTTCTGTTTGATCCTTTTGGGTTTTTTGTTTGTATAATTGTGTTTGAGACAGGGTCTTGGTTTGTAGTTCGGGCTAGGCTTGACCCCACGGTGATCCTCCTGCCTCAACGCCACCCTAATGGGCTCACTGAGTATCTTATAGAACGTCCCTCTGGTAAGGTGTGTCTGATGAATTCCTCTTGCTAATGCTGGGGTTGTAGATTTAGGGAAGAGGATGGCACAGGTAAAGTGCCATTTCCATTCCACACCAAGAACACATATGTGACTTACTCGCCTGATGCTGACCTTGATAGCCAGGCTGAGGTCATTCTCTTCTGCTTCTCCCCAAAAAGTTATTCCCACCTTCCTGCCTCTTCCTGCATCTGGAGTTCTTTGGGAGTAATGAATAATACTCTAAGCTATCCTTAGGGTGAGGAGTTCTGCTCTGCTGCCTTGAGTGACAGATAATCTATAAATTATTTGGGATTCTACATGGCAGATTTTTCTCCTTTACTTATTTATTTATTTATTCACTCAATTACTCATATAATTAGGGACTTTTTTTTTTTTTTTGAGACAGGGTTTTGCAATGCAGTTCAGGCTGGCCTTGGGCTCACTTTGTAGCCCAAGCTGGTCTCAAACTTGTAACGATCCTCCTGTCTCAGCCTCTAGAGTGCTGGGATTACAGGAGTGTGCCTCTAGGCCCAGCAAGGACTCATTTTTATTTTTATTTTTTTAATCTTTGGGATTTGGGTTGGAGATTTAGCTCAGTGGCATAAGTGCCTGCCTTGCAAGTGTGTGGTGGTGAGTTCAATCCCTGGTACCGATAAAAAAAAAAAAAAAAAAAAAAAATTTAAATCTTTGGGATGTGGACATTTTCAGGAGTATTATAAAATTCACTTTGATTTATTTATAGTGATATTGAATGTAACTTTTCTTGCTTGTTGGTGACTGCTCTAGGTATTATGCATGTATGGTCACAACCTATTGCTGTCATTTTACCTGCTTCCTTCTCTGATCTTTACCCTTCCCATTTATAATATAATTCCTTTAAAAATTTGCCATATATACAGTTAAAATTACTCACATTGTGCTACAAATTTTATTTCAACTGTATAAGCTTGACGATGTGGCTCAGTGATAAATTATTTTTTTTTTGTTTTGATTTGTTTTGGTTTTCTGAGACAGAGTCTTAATAAGTAATTCAAGCTGTCCTCAAACCTAATGATGATCATCCTGCCTCAGCCTCCTGCCTAATCCCTCCTGGGATTATAGGCAGGTTCCACTGTATCCAGAGAGGCAGAGTATGTTCTTAGAATGTGCCAGGCCCTGGATTCAATCCCCAGCACTAAGAGGGCAAAATAATCAAGAGGAAGAGAAAAGCTTATTTTATTTATCCATGTATTTGTTTGCCTTTCCTTCCTACCCTCCTGATATTTTAAGATTCCTCTCTTGGGGCTGGGGATTTAGCTCAGTGGCCTAAGCACCTGCCTTGAAAGCAGGCAGTCGTGAGTTCGATCCCTGGTACCGATAAAAACGAAAAAAAAAAAAAGCCAAAAAAAAAAATTCCTCTCTTATCATTCCTTTCTGTTTAAAGAATTTCCCTGAGCCATTCTTTCAGGATACTCAGCTAGCAATAAATCCTTTTTTGTTTTTTTTTACTTTGTTTTGTGTTTTGTTTTTTGAGACAGGGTCTTGCTATGTAGTCCAGCCTGCCTTTGAACTCCTGGCAAACCTCCTTTCTCAGCCTTGCAGGTACTGGGATTATAGATGTGTGCCTCCATGCCCCGCTGCCAATAAATTCTTACTTTTCTTTCTTCTGAAAATGTCTTTGTTTCACTTTCATTTCTAAAACATATTTCTTCTGGGTATAAGGTTCTGAATGTTTCTTTCGTTTTTGTTTTCTTGGTACCAGGGATCAAACTCACAACCTTGTGCTTGCCAGGAAGGCAGTTGTGCCACCGAGCTAAATCCCCAGCCCACCCAACAGTTCTTTACTTTGGTACTTAACAATATCATGTCACTCTCTCCTAACCTGTGATTTCTGAGATGGAATCTGCTATTATTCAAATTGGTTTTTCCCCAAAAGTACAGTGTCACTTTTCTCTGGTTCTTTTTATTTCTTTTTTGCAATACTGAGAATCAAACCCATGATTCTTGTACATTTATTTTGAGACATGGTCTTGCTAAATTGCCCAGGTGGAACTTGAATTTGCCATCCCCCTGTCTCAATCTCCCAGGTGCTTCTAGGATTACAGATGTGCTTTACTGAATCTAGCACTTTTAAAAATTCTCTTTTAAAATAGGGTCTCATTATGTTGACTGGCTTCTAATTCCTAGTCTCGAGAGATCCTCCTGCTTCTGCCTCCTGAGTAACTGAGCACACAGGTGTGTGCCCTGCCCCCCACTGGTTATGATGCATTTTGATGTGGGTTTCTCAGGGTTTATTCTCTTTGAGGTTTACTCAGCTTCTTGACTTTTGAATGTAGGTTATGTCTTTTGCAATTTGGAGGTGTCCTCAGCAATTCAATTATTTGTTTTTAAGCTCCATTTTCTTTTTCCTCTCCTTGCACTTCACAGACACAAACATCTGATCATCTGTTACAGTCCCACCGCTCCCTGAGGTTCTGTCGGGTTCCTTCCAGCCTATTTCCTCTCTGTTGCTCAGTCTGTGTCATTTCTGTTTTTCTTGCTCACAGTTCACTGATTCTTTCCTCTCCACTTCCCTGTTAAGCCCACTCACTGAGCTTTGTATTTTGGTTACTGAATTTTTTTCAGTTCTGAAGTTTCTTTGTGTTTCTTTCTAATATCCTTTTCTTTCTTTGCCAAGGTTTTTGTGCTTGATTTACTTTTGATTTGTTACTTGTTGAAGGATTTTTATCTATTAGTTACTTTTTTTCCCATTCAGTTTGGGTTCTTCCTGATTCTTAGTATGAGCTATTTTTGATAGAAACTTGGACATTAGAGTATTATAAGAGACTGGGTTGTATTGAACCTTTCCTTTAAATTGTCTTTTAATGTCACAACATTTGCTTCATTTGGGGCTGGGGATTTAGCTCAGTGGCATAAGAGCATCCCTGGCAAGCGGGGGGTTGTGAGTTTGATCTTCAGTACCACAAAAAAAATAAAATAAAAGAGCAGATGAGAAGGTAGAAGTCTGGCTCCTCCCCTCTTCACCACCATGCTGAGGAGAAGCCCCTCACAACTGTGGGACTGAGTGGCAGTTCCAGGTCCCCATGTGATCGCTATGCCACCTTGCTTTGGGAACAGCCATCTTAGTACAGGGTGACAATCCAAGTCCTCCTGGCTGTCCCTCCGGGCTCCTCTGATGTCACCTCTGCAGGAGAAGGATCCTCACTGCTGCATGGGGGTAAAAGTTCAGGCTCTTCCTTGATCCCACAGGTAGAAATGGGGAACCTGCAGCTGGTTGGTGGGGTGCATGTCCAACCTCTCTGCTTTGCCTTCTCTGACTCTAACCTAGTGGCAGTGTGGGAGCTACATGTGACAGTCTCAGGGGGGTGGAGGCTGAGGCTCCCTGCTCAGCCTCTGCTGGACTGGGAGAGGCTGGGACATAGTGTGGCTGCTGGAGAACAGTTACTATCCAAAATGGTTTTGTTAGCCTGGTATGCTGGCATAGTCCTGTAATGCCAGCACTAAGGAGGCCGAGGCAGGATTGCTGTAAATTCAAGGCCGGCCTGAGCTACATAAGTGAGTTCAAGGCCAGCCGAACTTCATAGTGAAATCCTGTCTCAAAAAGAAGAAGAAAAGAAGAAGAAGAAGAAGAAGAAGAAGAAGAAGAAGAAGAAGAAGCATTCCATTGCTTTTAATGGAAGTAACCAAAGTATCATTCTATATGGGCCTGTGGCAATAATATTATTATGATGTGTTTTATGGGGTAGTTATTTTTCTGCTACCCATTAAAATAAAGTCACAAATATTAAGATGTTGTGATTAATACAGGTACTACCAAAAGGAATTTGCTACCAGCAGTTGGAAATGCCAGACAAGAATGCTACTGAATGTCCACCACCCCAGCCTGTTGGGGTCCCAGAGTTTTGGGGAGCAGATTCCCTAAAGTGGCAGGGGTTCGGTCCATGGGCGGGGCAAGGGATAACTACCTCGAGTTAGGTAGGAGTTCTGTTTTGCCAGAATCTTGGTTTCATTGAGAAATTTCCAGCTGAAGGGCATGTTCTTCCTCTGGGACCCTATGCAGGGCAGCTCCACTGTGGCACCTTCTTTGCTCAGCACCACATCCTTTCCCTGAGTGACCACTGGGCAGAGTGCTGAATGGGAGATAAGAGTCAGCCACCACTCCCATCACAGCTGTGTCTGCCCCAGCCCCACCTTCCCACCTCCAGGAGCCCACCTCCCAAGCCCTGCTTCCAGTGCTCACCCACGTGCAGAACCAGGATCAGGAAGCTGGAAGAGACTTCCAAAGGCATTGTGCCCTTGCTGAGGCAGGCGAGGGCCTGAGTCATCAGGGGCCTGAACCTGGAGAAATGACAGTGACCAATGAGAGATACCAATCTTTTGTTGGGCCTGGGGCCTACAGGGACCCTTAGTCAATGGGCACACACATAGCAGGACCTTGTGGTGTGTGACACCAAAGGCTGTGTCTGCTGAGATCTGGTGATATTAAGGTTTAGCATGATAATAATCTCCCAGGCCTGATGTGACATCAGATGAGAGAGAAGTGGAGAAGAAAGGAGGAGAAAGGAGGAGGAAATTAATATATACATGAATATCAAATACGGACTAAAGTATCAGGGCATTTATACAAAGAGTTGTATAAATGGTGTTGGCATGGCTGGCATGGTGTTGCACACCTGCAACTCCAGTGCTCTGGGAGACTCAGGTAGGAGAATCACAATTTCCAGCCTAACCTAGGTAACTTAAGGTCTTAGCACGACCCTGTCTCAAAATTGGAAAAATAGTTGAGGATGTAGCTCGGTGTGAAGGGCCTGGGTTCAATCCCCAGTACATCAGCGAGCCTGAGAATATTAGTTTAGTTGTAGTCTCCTAATAAAAGCAGAACACTTCCCCGGGGGAATTCAGAGAGAAAATAATTACTTTTGCTTTCTCTTTGCTTAAGAAAGGTCCAGCTTTGAGAGATTTGTAATATGGGTGAGCTTTCTTTTTTTATTGATTATTTGAGGCTTTTTTAAAATTTGAGGCTTGTTAACAAGTAGTTCATGAAAGGAGTTTTTGGACTCAACATAGAGAAATCTCTTTTTTACTTTGAATTTCTGCTCTGGTTTGATTCCCCCCACCCATTGGGACAGAATCTCATTATACATCCGACCTAAAAATCTATGTGGCCCAGGCTAGCTTTGAATTAGCTGTGACCCTCCTGCCTCAGCCTCCAACTGCTGGAATTCCAGGTGTATAACATCACATCCAGCCTCAGGTTCAATTTTAAAAACTGGAGCATGGATTACCAATTCCACTTCATATAAATAACACACAAACTTATATTTACAGTATTAGGACTAGGGATATAGTTCAGTGGCACAGCACCTGCCTGAGTTTGATTCCTGAGGTTTTGAGTTTGATTCTTGATACCAAACAAACAAAAATTTTAATCTTTTTTTTTTTTGAGACTGTATCTCTATGCAGTTCAGGTTGTCCTTGGGCTCACTTTACAGCCAAGGCTGGTCTCGAACTCGTAACAATCCCCCTGCCTCAACCTCCTGAGTGCAGGGATTACAGCAGTGAGCCACCACACCTGGCTCAGAAAATCATAATTTATTATATCACAACAGGCTCAGAAACTGTGTTAGATAAATTCCAGACAGTTCCATTTCACATGTAAAACCTATCACTTTTAAAACATGTGTGGTGGACCCAGGGGTTAGTTCAGTGGCTTAAGTGCATGCCTGGCAAGTGCAAGGCCATGAGTTTGATCTCTGGTACCAAAACTAAACAAAACAACAACAGTAAAACAGGTGTGGTAGCAAATGCCTGTAATTCCAGAACTCCAGAGGCTGAGGCAGAATTGCTTCCAGTTCAAGGCCACCTGGGCTACACAATATTGAGTTCAACAATATCCTGAACTGCATAACAAGACCCTGTCTCAAAAATGAAAAGCAAAGAAAAAAAAAAAACTATGTATCACTTTTATTGATATTGTGGTTTTGAGTTGTTTTTTTTTTTTTTTATCAATGGAATTTACAACCTCCTGCTTGCCAGGCAGGTGCTTATGTCTCTAAGCTAAATCCCCAGCCCCCAGTTGTTTTGTTTTTCCAGGTGCTGGGGATGAGGACCCAAGGCCTCTGTCTGCCAGGCAAGCACTGCACCACTGGGCCACACCCCAGCCCTGATATAGTAATTTTCAAATATATAATATATTTACCCCTTGGATTGAGGCTGCTTTATTATTTTTATTTTGTTTGTTTCCTGCTTGCCTGTGAGACACTGAGGCCAGGGGTAATGCAAAGTGGAGACATCCTTGGGCTTTAAAGCATGGTACAAATGGAAACATACCATACACTGAGGTGGGGAAGAGCCTGCATTGTGGCCACTTATTTACTCATTTGTCAATGTTTTATTTATTTATTGCAGTGCTGGGGATCAAACCCAGGGCTTTATACATGCCAGACAAGCATTCTGTCCCTGAGCTACAAAACCCCAAGCCCTCATGCTGCTTTTTAATTTTTTGTTTTGCTTTATGAAGCAAGGTCTCGCCACATAGTTCAGGCTGTCCTTGAACTCACTATGTAGCCCTGGCTGGCCTTGAATCCTACTGCCTCAGCCTTCTGGGTGCTGGGATTACAGATATGCACCATCACACCCCACTAAATTTTTTCTTTTTTTTTAGTTAAAATAGTTTTAAAATGCCATGCCCCGGCCAGGAATGTGTTCTTTATTAGGTAAGATCAGAAAAAGATTCACGGAGAAAGCAGCAAAATAAGGGGACTAAGACCATGGAACCAAGTGCTTGAATGCTGTGCTAAGATGCTGGGCTTGGTTTGGGGTAATAGAGAGTGAGGAGAGGTTTTACATAGAAAAGAAAATAATTTGATTTGTAACATGGATCCCTGCAGCTGCTATGAAAGTGGAACAGGAGGAAGCCCTGTGGCAGAGCAGGGTTGCAAGCCAGTGAGAGAAGAGGAGGACTGATCTGAGACGGTGGCTGAGGCATGTGGACAAACTGAGAGAGTTCTGTGGTAACATTCTCAGACTCGGAGCCTGATCCAGTGTTTGGACTGGGAGGAAGAGAGAAGTCATCTCCTGCTCACAGTTGGACCATCTTCTGAGGCCTGTTGGGCCAGAGGGATCTTGGGAAGAGGCTATTTAGGCAGAAGACCACTCCTGAGGGTCTAGAAGACAGCCAAGGCCCTTCCTTCAGAATGGCCCTGAGTGGGCTGTGAGGAAAAGACAGCATTGCCATGGAGGAGTGATTCCAAGAGGAAACCCTGGGTCAGCACACTCAGCATGGCCAGGAATGTGTCAAAATGCAGATTCTCAGGCTTGTCCTAGACCTGCAGGGATGGGTCTCCAGGTGACGGAAGACGGCTCAGGTCTGAAAACCCAGAGTAAGAGGGGAGGAGAGAGAAAAGGAATTCCCAGCTTAGTGTATAGAGGTGTGGGAAATTACAGAGGCGGGCAAAGTGGGAAAAGGCCCGAGTATAGATTTTTTTTTTAATTTTATTTAAGAGGAAAAAGAGAAAAACACAAAACAAAACAAAGCAGTGTAAAGGTACACGTAATACAGAACTACAAAAAAAAAAAAAAAAAACATAACAGTAAGAAATCACCTGTTAATAGATTACATATTATCATCTTGAAAATAGTTGCTCAAATCACAGTTTCAAAGAATACAAAGTGGACATTCAAACAGGGAGACTGCAAACAGCTGTGTTCAATGATCCAAAAACATTAATATAGTCAGCTATTTAACACCCCTAAACACACTTGCTGTTATATCCGTTAGAGCTCTTTTTTTTCCCCCTTTCTTTTTTACAACAAAATTTACACATCTTGGATTTTATTACTCCTTAGTTCTTATTACTTTTTTTGGGGGGGAGAGAATACAGTCAAATATGGCAAAACAAAGCTGTCAGTCAAAACCAAGGATAGACATAGCACATGGTATAGAACAGAGTACAAGGTTATCAACAATGGTTATCAATGTTGTCTCTTGTTTCCTTAAAAAGAATTGTCTATCTCATTAGGTATTATAAAGTTGGACAAAACAGTAGAGAACAAGACCAATAAAACTTAGGCATTGTAAACATTACAGGACTTCCAAAGGAGACAATAATCAAACCAGAATGGGCATCTTAGTGAATCTTATTGCCTTCAGAGTAGTTGCCTATACCCTCAAACTTGATACTAGCATACAGAATGGAACAGAGTCTAATCAGTCAAAACAAGATCGTGGGAGTATTACAGGACTTCAAAACAAGTTAATAGGAAATCAAAAAGAGTTACTATTATATATCCTAATTTTTTAAATTTTTCCCCTTAATTAAAACAAACATAAGAAATAACTAAATAATTTTTTTAAAGAATAAGGGGGAGATTGAGATAAAACAAGACATAACAATATAACAATAGAGGTCAAAGCATGACTGTTTCAGCAACCTAGTACTTCACCACCAAATAACCTGACTTAATAGTAGTTACCATAGTGTCTGTCTTTTTCCTTGAAATATTTGGATAAAACTTCATATACTATAGCTTCAAATATTTCCATATCAAGAAGCCCAGAATAAAGCCTTTCTAATTAATGAGTGAAAACTTTATAAGGCTTCAAGGCCACATAATGGGGAATCATGATTACCACATATTTTTATATATTTGAATCATTACTTACATTAGGGAAACTATTCGGTATTCACACATGCGAGATTGATTTATTTCACTTATGAGTATGGTCTCAAGCTGCACCCATTCGAGTATAGATCTTAACAGCTAGGGTGAAAGCCGGGTTTGGTTTTGGAGATGTGGAGCTGCTTCCAGCCCCACCTGCAGGGCTGAAGAGCATGCCCAGCCTGTCACACACGTATGGCAAGCGCTCCACACTGAGCTACGTCCCTAGCCCTCCTGCCAACTCTGATCAAGGATGTGACACTTAGAGCCCAAACTACATACAGCCTATTACTCTATGCAGTTTTATGACACTTACCATAATAAGTAGAGAGTAACTGAAATGGAAGGAACAGAGATGAGAGGAAAGAGAGGAAGACCACCATATAGCTCCTGAAAAGCAGAAGAAAAGGGCCCTAAGTGTCTTTGAAGTCTAGGCCTGGGCCCTAAGTGGGCCTCAGAGAGGCAACTACTGGAATAGGGGGTCAGCTTGGACTGGCCCTGGGCTCCTAGGGGAGAGCTGCATCCAGACATTATTCTCTCTCCCAAGCCTGGCCTTTCTCTCCCCTACAGTTACCTTTGCTCTGATCTCTGCAACCAGCTGGCCCAGCTCCTCAATGACCCCGTGCTGGATATGACCCATCTTCCACCATATGATTTGATTCCCAGTTTCTTCCCCACCAACTTGAACGCCACAAGAACAGGGCTGAGAGCCCAGTCAGCTACTACAGACCCGGCACCAGCAGAAGCAGAGAGAAGGGACTCAGGCTGTGTGCAGTTAACTAATACCAACTCCAATTGAATGAAGGAAGGGAAATGGCTGATAGCCTTGCTTATTCAGCTTAGTACTTGTGAGTGTAAAACGGGCCATTTATGGCTGGGGATATGGCTTAGTGATAGAGTGCTTGCCTAATAAACACAAGTCCCTGGGAATCAATCTCCCAGCACCACACACACAAAAAATAGAATGAAAAATAAATAAGGAAATAGATAGCAGGTCATATAAGTGTGTGTGCACACCCAGAGTGTCCTGGGTGGACACTCTGGGTCATCCCAGGTCATCCCAGTTCTTACTGCTTATTCTTCTTCGCCCTGCTCTCCATTAAGCAGCGCCACCATCCAGCCCCACCCCAGCCCTGAGGCTGCGGCTTGGGCTGGCTGATGGAAAGTTCTAGAAAGAGGCAGAGTGCAAGGATACAGATAAGAGTCTGAAGCCTTTCTTTTTCCCTGCTCTGGAGCCATTTTCTGGCAAGAGCTGTCATGGCCCTCTGCACTACAACTCTGGCCAGAGCCGAGCCAGGGAAAGGCCAGGGATAGTGCCGATTGGTTTCCTTATCCTATGCACACCTTGGTAAATAAACCCTTTCTATAATCCTTGGAATTCCCTGAGGTAGAGTCTGAGGTGCTGGGGTTTGTTCTCCTGTGAGGTTGGGAAGACAGGAGAAAGCTCCCCATCTAATTCCTCTATTTGTCCAGAAGAGGAATTACCCAGGGCCTAATGTGTGGTTGATGGTTGACACATAGACAGATAAATATAGACAAAGCCTAACATGTGGTTGATGTTTGAGATGGAAAGATAGATAAATACAGCTAAACAGAGGGGTGATAGATTTGCTCACAGCGGGGAACCAGGAAGAGAAGGGTCAGGAAGGAGGCTTGTTGGTAGTCAGTGGGGAGGTTGTTTACAAGTTACTGCAGGCAGGGCAGGGCATGCAAGCACTTAGAGGAAGGCTGGGGTGGTAAGAGAGCCTCACCCCCAAAAGCGTCCCACTGTATCCCCCCACCCCACACTGCCTCTGTCCTTGGCAAGCAAGGGATAAAAAAGGAGTGTCCATGGGGGGATCTTCCTCCTCCAGGATCCTGTAAGAAGTCTGACAAAGATGAGGGACCTTCTAGGCCCTTCTCCAAGTGGTAGCTTTTGTGTCTCCCCGCTTCACAATCTGGGGCTGGGGTCAGTTCAGAAAGCTACCTCCTCCCTGCCTCCAGCTCCCCGTTTTCCCCCAGCCCCGCCCAGGGTTCAGCTTAGTACAGGAGGCTGTGGGTTTCCAGCTGCTGCTTGCTTTGGTGCTTGGGCTTCCGCTGCCACCCTAGAGATCTGGCCTTTGATTTCCACATCCTCAGCGTCCCCAGAGGCCCTCAGCCTCAGTACAGTAGCATCCTGTGCACTGTCACCCCTGGGAGAGGCTGAGAGGGCTTGTGGTCCCAGGCTGGCTCTTTCGCTTTTTCTCTCTCTCCCCCTCCCCCCTCCCTCTCTTCCTTTGCTTATTTCTCTGCTTGTGCATTTCTGAATCTGCACGTCCTCCTGTCCCTGGTTTCAGCTTCCAGCTCCCTGTGGGTGCCTCTCCTCCTCTGTGCCAGGCTCTCCCTGTCTCTACCTGCTCAGAGTGCCCCTGCCCCTTCTCCTTCCTTGTCCTTCCCCTCTCCAGCTACTGCCACTGGGGTCTAGTTCCTGCCACCCTGCACGCAGTATCCCAGCCTCTGGCAGCCACAGTCTGAGCTCCAATCTAACAGGGCTGCAGAGCCGTGGCTCAGGCTGAGAATAGAGAAGGGAGATGGTTGCAGGGTGGGAGGGACACAGCAGGTAAAGAAGTGGATGGATTTCTTGAGAAATATTCAGAGGCTTCAAGGGAGGACCAGAGGGAAGCAGGGAGAAACACAGAGTGGCTCTTGAAAGCAACAGCCATCCTTCAGATGATCTAACATCCCGTGCCCAGTGCAGGGGGGACAAAAATGGAAGAGGGAAGGCAAAGCAATGAAGAAATTCTGGAGGCGAGATGCACACAGAGAGAAAGGATGCTACCAAAATGGCAACACACACACACACCACACACACATGCCACACACCTCCCAAGGCTCTTGAGGTTTCCACAGCCCTCACCCTGGCCCCGGGGTTGGGATGAGGGCTGGGGAGAGGAAGAGGGCACAACCCCACCACAATGACAGCTGTGGTCCCACATGCACTTTTATCTTCACCCCGCAGCCCACTCAAGCGGGGTGTACCCCCAACACATGCGACCTGTCAACTGCGACCTGGCTTCGTGTAAACTTCCTAGAGACCCAGACTCCTGAGGGAGTCTTGTGGTTCAGTGGCTACAACCTCCGCCATCCTCACCCTTGCCTCAGACACCCACACAGGGGGCACTGTCCCCCCCCCCCAAGAAGAGTACAGATAGAGCTCAACCGCCAGCCTTGCAAACCCAGACCCCCGGCCGTCTCCCCCCATCCAGCACCCTAGTGTCGGTGGTCCATCTTCATCCAAGTTACTTATTCAACACACGTTTACTGAGTGTCTAAAATGTAGAGACCCTTGGCCTCCAACTCCTCTGAGTGCCACCTTTCCATTATGGCCACAGCCAGGGCCTACGGCTGCTTCGAGGCTCTGCCTATCACCAATGGGTGTGGGAGGATATTTATTTAAAGGTAGGCCTCTTCTGTGTAAGTGTCCCCAGCCTAAAAGAGGGAGGCCACCTCCTGAGACTCAGGCAGCCATTTTGTATTAGGCCACAAGATCTGACACTGCACAAGAAATTATTTATCAAAATATGAAACAATTGATCTCCCCCACCGCATTCTTCTTCCAGGCTTGCACTCCTAAAATGGTGCCCTACAAGACAGCAGGATATTCACAAAAACTGTGCCGCCTAGAGTGGGATCTTTCACTCCCTTTCTGCGGTCGGGATCAGAATGTACCCTAGAGTTCTTCTTCAGAATAATTCTGTGAGGTAAAGGCAGAAGACGTGGAGAGAGGAGGTAGCAGAGTGGCTTCAAAGGCCACAAGATCCCTGGAAAGGGGAAAGGCTGGCCATGTGGAGCCCGGAAGCTAGTCCTAGAGGGATTGTCCTTGAGGATATGGGATCCCCCGTCTCCACCACATCTTACTAAGCCCAGGTGGTGGTGGTGATGGGGCGTCCTGCAACCCTTTTCTACTTCTCCTGGCCTCCACATACACTTAAAACCCATTCTCTTAAAATCAAGTTTGCTAACGTCACACTTACCTAAGATAGATGATAGATAGATGATAGATAGATAGATAGATAGATAGATAGATAAATACGTAGTATTTCCTAAGAGGTCGTTTTCAATATTTTTTGAGAATTTTAACTTTCCATTTCCTTAATCAAGCTAACAAAAACAGAAGTGTCTTTAGACATATTGTTCAAAAATTCTAAAAATGCACGAAAATAGAGATAAAATTTAAAACATACATAAACCCAAAAGAGTTAAGAGTGGATTCATAGATTGCTTAAGAAATGCTGCAAGTGTGATTAGAGGTGTGACTTTTTAGTGATTATGTCACTGCAGAAATTAACTTTAGGAAAATTGTCTCTCGTCTAGATTCCACTTCTTATTCTCTTTTTCTTACTTTTACCATTTTTCTCCTCTTTTTGCTTCTTTATAGATCTCCCACTATAAGACTTATTCCTTCTCACTTCCCTCTCCCCCTTCTCAGCTGTTTTTCTGCTCTTTCTTTCCTTTCTGCTTCACCTTGTCCCCTGTCCCATGACTGATTGCCTTCCACCGCCTTGCTCCACTGGGCCTTTTCTGACCTTACGAGGATCTGAGCCTGGTGGGGATGCAGAGAGGAACATGGGGTAGCCTGGCTCTTGAAGCTCACATTTGCCGTGGCAGATGGCTGCTCAGGACCAGTTCTGAGAGAAATGCAAGAGAAGGTGGCCAGCGCTGTGGGCAGAGGGCTGAGAGTCCGGCATGCTCCGGTACATGGGCCGCCATGTTCACGTCCCTCCCAGCTCCCTGGAAAGGAAAGCAGCTAGAGCTTCCCCTCTTACCTCCAAGCCTGTCTTTCTTCCTCTTGTTCTGGAACAGATGGGAGTGCAACCAAGAGCCCCGTGGAGAGATGACTTGATAACTGCTGCAGAGATGTTCTTAAGTGACGAGAGACAGGAAGCAAGGGAGTGAAGCTTCTCCACACTCCAGGCCTGGGCCAGCCCACAGCGTCACCACCTGGGCCTGGGGTCACCCCTCCCACACCCCAGCTCTTGGGGAAAATGTTGAAATGAAAATGCCAAAGTCATGGGAAAAAGTTCAGCAGAATCTGACTGGAGCTCGCAACCTCACAGCCTTTGTCAGATGGTGAAAGAAAGACTGTTCTAGACACGGCCAGATACTGAGAACTTTTAGGGACTTTAGGGACGTGATTGGCCTAGGAGAACAGCTGAGGTCCAGGGCTCTGGAAGCATTTGTCTAGCAGGCACTCCAAAGCTATAGGTACCAGAGATGCTCTAGGTGGCCCATAATGACAGAAAGGGCCAGAGATGTCCCCAGTGACCGTGGGCCAGGATGTGCCCACATTCCAGGTGCTTTTCTCTAGCTGAGCCTCTTACGAGCTGTAGAGGACCGCCTGCATTACTCTCCTTGAATAAAAAGCATACTAAACCAAAATTCACCCAGGCCACTGGGCACTAGCATCCCCATCCAACTCATGGGGCCACTGCCATGTATTCCAGCCCCTGCCTTCCTGCTGGGCCTGCCCTCTCCATGCAGCCTTGCTCTAGGGCGATTTCCACACACAGCAGGAGTGATCATCAGAAGGTACACACCTGTGATTCCAGTATTTTGAGAGGCTGAGGCAGGAGGATTACAAGTTTGAGCCCATTCTAGGCAACTTAGTGATTTAGTGAGACCCTGCCTCAACATAATAAAATTAAATAGAGCTTGGGATGTAGCTCAGTGGGAGGGCCCTGAGTTTAATTCCCAATAAAGAAGAAAGAAAGAAAGAAAGAAAGAAAGAAAGAAAGAAAGAAAGAAAGAAAGAAAGAAAGAAAAAGAAAGAAAGAAGAAAGTGACTGCCTGGCAAGTGGGAGATCATGAGTTCAATTTCTGGGACGAAAGAAGAAAAAGAAAGTGTCCTTCCCCCACTCTGAAAAACAATAGCAAGTCCAGCTTGTGACAGTAACAATTAATGCAAGCCCTTCTGCCGTGACAACCATTGTACCCTCTCACAGCACACACGTTTTCTGCTACTTCTCATTCCTCGCACATTATGCTCAAAGATTATGATTTAATGAATTAATATTTACTGTTTCATCAAGGCATTCTTCAGAAACACTGACATTAATTTTTTTATTGCAAGTGCCTGGCAGGGAAAAATTCATGCTTTGGCACTTCTGCCTCAATTTGTGCTAAGGCAGAAGGTTTACCCTGATCACTTTTCCAACACACAGCCAGGTATGGTGATGCACCGCTGTAATCCCAGAACTCAGGAGGCTGAGGCAGGAGGATCTCTGAGAATTCAAGGGCTACAAAGTGAGTTCAAGGCCAGTTTGAACTGCCCAGTGAGATCCTGTCTCAGAGAGAGAGAGAGAGAGAGAGAGAAGAAAGAAAGAAGAAAAAAACTTTTACAATGTATAGACATGTCAACATAGTGACAAAAGCAGATAAAGTCCTGGCATTGTTATGAAATTAGCTTGATTTTGAAGATTCCCTGAGAGACGTAAGGGACATGTAGCATCCACAAACCAGCTGACATTTTTTGTTTTTATCAGGTTTTATTGGTACATTTTAAATATATATGGCGATCACATTCATCATAGAGAATTTGTACCTGTATATAGTATAACTTGTTTTTCCCCCATCCCCTACTGGTCCTTCAACCTTTCTCTTTCTCTCCCTCCTTTTCTTTCTTTGTCTTTTTTTTTTTTTTTTTTTTTTTGTCTTTTTGAAACAGGGTCTTGCTATGCCGCTCAGACTGGCTTTGAGCTCACTTTGTAAGCCAGGCTGGTCTCAAACTGGCTCAGTTTCCCAAGTGCGAGGATTATAGGCATGCACCACCATGCCCGGCTTCCATGTTTTCCTTTTATCCTCTCTCTCTCTCTTTTTTTTTTTTTTTTACTTTTTCCTTCTTTCCTTTCCCTCCATTGTTCCCCTTCCCATTTGAACATTTTTGTCCTATTTCACAATACCTATTGTACATTGTGGTCCTTATTTATACGTTCAGTTTGTCACACCAGGAATAATGCGGTCCCATTACATGTCGTCCAATTTATTGCACTTATAAATATGGACTCAAGGTGCATACATTTTCCTAAAAATGTCTCAAGTGTATCCTTCTTAATAGAAGAGTAGTATTCCATTGTATAGAAAAGACCCATGTTTTTATCCATTCACAGTTGATAGGCTAATACAAAATTTGCCACTATAACATAGGTGTGTATATATCACTGTGGTATGATAATCTTTGATAATCAGGAGGGGAACGGCTGAGTCAAATGGAACCTCTAGCCCTAATTTATTTATTTATTTATTTATTTATTTATTTATTTAGTACCGGGAATGAACTAAAGACCTCACACTTGCTAGGCAGGCATTTAGGCCCCTGAACTAAATCCCCAGCCCCTTTCTAATTTTTTTTTTTTTTGTCTTTTTCCTTTTTATCGGTACCGGGGATCAAACTCAGGACGGCCTGCTTGCAAGGCAGGTGCTTATGCTGCTGAGCTAAATCCCCAGCCCTCCCTTTCTAATTTTTAAAGAAATCTCCACCTGATTTCCACAGTGGTTGTACCAGTCTACGTGCTCACCAACAGTGGAGAAGGGTTCCTTTTTCCCCACAGCCCTTCCAGCATTTGTTATTGGTTGATTTCTTGATAGTAGCCATTCTTTCAGGAGTGAGGTGGGATCTCAGTGTTGTTTTAATTTGCATCTCTTGAATGACATTTCTTCATATACTTATTTGCTATTTGTACTTCTTTATCTGAAAGTGTATATTTATCTCAGATACTCATTTTTGGATTGAGTCCTTATATTTGGGGGGATCTGATTTTTTTTTAGTTCTTTGTATGTTCTCAATAGTATTCCTTTGTTTGAGGAACAGGTGGCAAACATTTTCTCCCATATTGTAGGTTGTCTGTTCACTCGATGGTTTCTCTTGCTGCACAAAAAGCTTTTTAATAGACGAAATCCCAGCTGTTGATTCTTTTGGGAGAATTCCTATGCAAGCCAGGAGGCCAGATTATATTCTGAGAATGGATGTGGGGAATTTATTCATTCTTCAGATCTGAACTATCTCTTTAGGTGCCCCAGAAATGCTTTCTTTTTCTCCTCCTCCCCTCTTCCTGTTTCTCTCCCCGCCCTCCTCCTTCCTTCCTAATCCTCCTCCTTCAGTGTTGAGCTCATAGGTCAGCATGTGTGAGGTGTTGTTGTTCTTTTTTTTTTATTTTATTTTGAAAGTATACAACAGAACAAAACAGAATAAAGCCAACTAAGATCGTACAGTGAAATTGGTACAGAACTTCACAGCAGGTTACCGGGATAACAGTAATAGATATCACAGTATATTTTGTTATCTTTATAATAGTTGTCCTTTCAATCACGTATATCAAAATGAGATGAAATACAGATCACTATAGAACTTATCAAAACAGAATATTGAATAGAGCAGTACCATTAATCAGAAAAGAGCAAAACAGTAATAAAAATATTTGTCTTCAAAGAGATGGTAGAAGGAAGTCCCCCTTATTTGCTATGGTCAACCTCCCAGGAGATGCTCAGATTTCTGGTTCCCATTTGCTAATGGGTGGTGTGGGGTGGGGGTAAGGGAAGTGGGATATTTGACTCTAGGCCGTGCATCAGTAGGTTCACTATTGCTTAGCAGGGAGGCAGGCTGGTTGTTTGGTTTCACAGCATCCTAAGTTCCAGCATGGCGCGAATCTCAGGAGCTGCTCCTGGTTCTCCCACTGGAAGGGCCGTAGTCTTCCACACTGCCACTGCTTACCAGGGAGGGGAGGTTCTTGCTTGGCTTCCCAGTGTCCTCAGTTCCAACATGGCATGGATCTCAGGAGCTGCTGCTGGTTCTCCCCCTGGAAGGGTCACAGTCTGCCAGACCACCACCACTTACCAGAGATGCGTTGTTGTTCTTGAGATAGGATTTCACTATGTTACCAAAGCTGATCTCAAACCCCTAGGCTCAAGCAATCCTCTGCCTCAGCCTTCTGAGTAGCTGAGACTATAGATACATACCAATGTACCCAGCCTTAATCACCCAGATACATATTATGCAATAGATATTTCCCAAATAACTCCATTTGTAGTGAATGTAGCCAAGTAGCTGAATCTTTTTTTTTTTTTTTGTCTTTTTCCTTTTTATCAGTACCAGGGATCGAACTCACGACTGCCTGCTTGCAAGGCAAGTGCTTATGCCACTAAGCTAAATCCCCAGCCCCAAGTAGCTGAATCTTGATTCAGACATCTAAATGAGTGCTCCTAGTAAGAAGCAGTGGTGGATATCTCTTCCCTAGCTCCTCTGTCTCTCTGGTGCTAGGAGGCAAAGTCCTCCCTGGCTCAGTCTCACAGCCAACCCGCTTTCCTCATTCGCACACCTCAGCAGCCTCCTGTAAACCTTCTCATGCATCCTCACTCACCTATTCACCGCTCATTATGGGTCCACAAGCCCAAGGCACAGTGAAGGCATTGGGGATCTGATGCTGAATGTGACAGATAAAAATCACTCAAGCTCTGGCTTATGGCATGGGTACTGAGCAGTGAAGAATTGGCGAGAGGATAGCAAATTCAAGCCCAGCCTGAGCAATTTAGTAAGGCCTTTTCTAAAAATAATAAGAAGAATAATAAAACCAGACATGTAGCTCAGGAGGCTATGGCTTCAATCACTAATACTGAAAAGGGGGCTGGGTGTTTAGCTCAACAGCACAAGCACCTGCCTGGCAAGCATGAGGTTGTGAGCTTGATCCCCGGTACAAAAAAAAAAAACCCTAATACTGAAAAAGGAAAGGATACATTTTTGACATCAAAGCTATGTTGGCTGTAGATGAGAAGGCAGTGTTATGTGAAGGAAGGAAAGCTGGGGGCAGGAGGCTGGGGCTGCTTGGCCGCTGTGCTCTGAGCCACATCCATCCAACAGAAGCAGGGAACAACTCCTTGCCAGTTCAGCAATGCAGCTGTTACGTGACAAACTTCCCTATCCACCCTCCCCATCCTTTGGTTCCCGTAAATTCAAGACATCTCAGAATTTTTCTCTTATCATCATGATTGTGCAACTAACAC